TAGGCAAAGGTGTTTGTGTTGGTTTCAATTCTTGACTAGATGTAATATTTCTCAATTATTTACTCTATAGGAGCCCCCTGTGGCACAGTGGGTTAAACTGCTGAGCTGCTGACCTAGGTTTTCAATAGTCATCCCATTAGGTTTTAACACCAGAAATTTAGAAAGTAACAATAAAAATATATATTCTTGCTGTGATCAATATTCTTATTATTATTATTCCTTTATTATTATTTTGTTTCCCGGCAATGTGTGTGTCAAGCAGAAACACAGAAACATGGAGTACATCTACACTGTAGAACCCACCAACTCATCACATTGGGAGGGAAAAGCAAGGGTGACCATCCCTTTAAGAGAGAGAATTGCCCTGTATGAAGTTTTGCCTCCCCATCAGACTCATACTTGGAAAATACATTAATCTTACATTCACCACAAGGTCAGTTTTTTTTTATTTTTAATCAAGAAAAACAGCAATATCCAAAAACCAAGCGACCCCTTGCCCTGCCCAATGCCCCATATATTAAAGGAGACTGACACCAGTTTAAAACCTCATCTTCCCATGGGAAAAAAAACTGTTCTGCCCTAAATGCCAGAGGAACAAGACACAGCACTCCAGGTTAAACTATTGCTTTCCATGGGATCCTATTGATCTGCCAGACGATACAGGAGACAGCGATCCAGGTTAAAACCATTGCTTTCTCTGGGATCCTGTTGATCTGCATTGAACTCCAGAGGATACAGGAGACAGTGATCCAAGTTAAAACCTTTGCTTTCCATGGGATCCTATTGATCTTCATGTTCATGCTATATGCCCTGACCATCTTTTCTTTCCCCCATTCATTTCATTGACCATGTCAGATATCTTGTTTCTTTGAGAGATCTCTCTCTCTCACTCTAGTCTCTGTTTTGTCTGTTTCAACATGCATTTCATAGGGATTTGTTTTGGTATGTAACTTTGTAGTGTTTTGCTGTGTTTATGTATTTTAATTGTTTTTGTAACCCCCTTGAGCCATGAGGAGAGGCAGGTAAGAAATAAAATTTGTGTTGTTGTTGTTGTTATTGCTGTTGTTGTTGTTGTTGTTGTTGTTATTATTATTATTATCATCATCATCATCATCATTCTACAACGGAAACGTTCTGTCACTTTGGCTCCGCTGGCTTTTAAACTAATTTTAACTAATTAAAATTAACTAATTTCATACTTTTTGTCTTGTTTGTCTTGTTCTTTGTTTTTCTTAAGTTAGATGTGAATTCGTAATTGTGTTGTCATTCCTCAATTTTACTAATGTCCTTATTATAATGTTATATAGGTCAATTACCCTATATTCTTAATGCCTTTTAATCATCAGATTTTATCAAGTGGTAAGTGTGCGTGATGTGTCACATTATGTATATTTAAGTTCTTCATTTGGTGAGTTTTCCGGGCTGTATGGCCATGTTCCAGAAGCATTCTCTCCTGACGTTCCTCCCACATCTATGGCAGGCGTCCTCAAAGGTTGTGAGGTCTGCTGGAAACTAGGCAAGTGGGGTTTATAAATCTGGAGAAAGTCCAGGTTGGGAGAAAGAACTCTTGACTGTTTGTGGAAAGTATGAATGCTGCAATTGGTCACCTTGACTAGCATTGAATGGCCTTGCAGATTCAAAGTCTGGCTGCTTCCTGCTTGAGGAAATCCTTTGTTGGGAGGTGTTAGCTGGTCCTGGTTGATTCATGTCTAGAATTCCCTTGGTTTTTGAGTGTTGCTCTTTATTTACTGTCCTGATTTTAGAGTTTTTAAAATACTGGTTGCGCCTTCACTTTTAGGTGCACAACTTTTTAATTTTTCAGGGTTATACTTCATGGGAGATCAAATTGTGTCCAAATTTGGTGTCAATTTGTCCAATGGTTTTTTATTTATGTTAATCCCACAAACAAACATTACATTTTTAGTTATATAGACTAGCCGTCCCCTGCCACATGTTGCTGTGGCCCAGTCTGGTGATCTGGAAAATACAGTAATGAGAAAGTGTTGGTTTCGAGTATATGTAATTTCTTTATGCTTGTGGATAAACAGCATTTCTTGCTGTTTCTTTGTCAGTGTTGATGCGGAGATTGTGTGGTTTGCCTACTCTGGAATATGCAACATATAATTGTCCTTCTTTAGGGGTCCCTTTCAAATCTATAATCCTATGTGTGTGAGTGAATCATATATATCTAACTGTATCTATGGCTGGATGACTGTCAGGAGGGCTTTGATTACATTTTCTTGCTCTGGTGAAGGGAGTTGGACTGGATGACCTTAAGTATTTTCTGTTGGTCATGAGGGTTCTGTGTGGGAAGTTTGCCCCAATTCTGTCATTGGTGGGGTTCAGAATGCTCTCTGATTGTAGGTTAACTATAAATCCCAGTAACTACAACTCCCAAATGTCAAGGTCTATTTCCCCCAAACTCCATCTGTGTTCATATTTGGGCATATAGAATATTCATGCCAAGTTTGGTCCAGACCCATCATTATTTCAGTCCACAGTGCTCTCTGGATGTAGGTGAACTACAACTCCCAAACTCAAGGTCAATGGCCACCAAACACTTTTAGCTTTTTCTGTTGTTTATGGGAGTCCTGTATGCCACATTTGGTTCAATTCCATCGCTGGTGGAGTTCAGAATGCTCTTTGATTGTAGGTGAACTTATAACTCCAGCAACTACAACTCCCAAATGACAAAATCAAAAAAATTTAAGTGAAGGACATACATTGGGTTGTTAGGTGTACGCTGTCCAAATTTGGTGTCAATTTGTCCAATGGTTTTTGAGTTATGTTAATCCCACAAAAGAACATTACATTTTTATTTATATAGACTAGCTGTCCCCTGCCACGTGTTGCTGTGGCTCAGTCTGTGTATATGTGTTTTGTGTTTATATATGTGTGTGTATATATTTGTGTATATATGTGTTTTCCTATATATGTGTGTGGTTTTGTATATGTGTTGTAATGTCTTTTTTTGTTTTTTTTGTTTTGGCTTTTTAAGTCTCTTTTGCTGTGTTTTTCCATGTTTTTATGAGTGACGGTCACTTGTTGGCCTGATATGTATATTGTGTCCAAATTTGGTGTCAATTTGTCCAGTGGTTTTTGATTTATGCTAATCCCACAAACAAACATTACATTTTTATTTATATAGACTAGCCAGCCCCTGCTACACATTGCTGTGGCCCACTCTGGTGGTCATGGGGGTTCTGTGTGGGACAGCAAGTCTATCATTGGTGGGGTTCAGAATGCTCTGTGATTGTAGGTGAACTATAAATCCCAGTAACTACAACTTCTAAATGTCAAGATTCTATTTTCCCACCAGTGTTCATATTTGGGCATATTGAGTATTCATGTAGAGCAGTGTTTCTCAACCTGGGGGTCGGGACCCCTGGAGGGGTCGCGAGGGGGTGTCAGAGGGGTCGCCAAAGACCATCAGAAAACACAGCATTTTCTGTTGGTCATGGGGTTTCTGTGTGGGAAGTTTGGCCCAGTTCTGTCACTGGTGGGGTTCAGAATGCTCTTTGATTGTAGGTGAACTATACATCCCAGTAACTACAACTCACAAGTGTCAATGTCTATCTTCCCCAAACCCCACCACTGTTCACATTTGGGCATATTGAGTATCCATGCCAAGTTTGGTTCAGATCCATCATTGTTTAAGTCCACAGTGCTCTACCTGGATGTAGGTGAACTACAGCTCCCAAACTCAAGGTCCCACCAAAGTGTTTTCTGTTGGTCATGGGAGTTCTGTGTGCCAAGTTTGGTTCAATTCCATCATTGGTGGAGTTCAGAAGGTTCTTTGATTGTAGGTGAACTATAAATCCCGGCAACTACAGCTCCCAAATGACAAAATCACTGCCCCCCCCCCCCACAAACCCCACGGTATTCCAATTTGGGCATATCGGATATTTGTGCCAAATATGGTCCAGTGAATTAAAATACATCAGATATTTACATTACAATTGATATCAGTAGCAAAATGACAGTTATGAGTAGCAATGAAAATGATTTTATGGTTGGGGGGGGGGTCACCACAACAGGAGGAACTCTATTAAGGGGTCGTGGTTAAAGGAAGGTTGAGAACCACTGATGTAGAGTTTGGTCCAGATCCATCATTGTTTGAGTCTTTAGATGTAGGTGAACTACAACTCCAAAACCAAAGGACACTGCCCACCAAACCCTTCCAGTATTTTCTGTTGGTCATGGGAGAACTGTGTGCCAAGTTTGGTTCAATTCCATCGTTGGTGGGATTCAGAATGCTCTTTGATTGTAGGTGAACTATAAATCCCAGCAACTACAACTCCCAAATGACAAAATCAATTTTTTTGAGTGAAGGACATACATTGGGTTGTTAGGTGTCTTGTGTCCAAACTTGGTGTCAATTCGTCCAGTGGTTTTTGAGTTCTGTTAATCCCACAAACGAACATTACATTTTTATTTATATAGATTGGCTCACAATGGTTCTTAAAATACGAATTAATTCACAAAACATCCTCAGAGGTTGTGAGGTCTGACCTCACAACCTCTGAGGATGCCTGCCATAGATGTAGGCAAGAATTCAGGAGAGAATGCTTCTAGGACATGGCCATATAGCCTGGAAAACTTACAAAAACCCAACCCCTAAATTGCCCCTTTGGCTACAATGAATATACAAGCAATGCCAAACTGCTGAGGGTGAATGAATGCAAGCTTTTGCTTGGAAGGGGCTGAACTCTTCTTCCCAGACACGAGGAGGACTCTCCCTAGCGGAGAGCAGGCGTCATTTCGCGCCTTTTTCCTCCCTGGCATACACACGCAGGAATAGACACATCTCTCTCTCACACACAGAGAGAGAAGAGTGGGTTGCCTACTGTCACACACACACACACAGAGAGAAAGTGCTGTGCTTCTCTTCTCCACAGGAGGAGGGCATTGAAGGCTCTGCCTGCAAAACAGGCGGGACTACAGAGAGGAGCCTCCAAAGTGAAGCCTCCGAGAAAGAAGGCAGCTTTGGCTTCCCCCCCCCCCCCCCCCTCCTCCAAGGACTGGCTGGCTGGGAAGGATCTTCGCTTCAGACACAGCTTTAGCCTTGCTTGAATTGTGATTGTTGTTACCATCATCCTTATCCTTCAAGAAAGAAGCTTGGCTTTGGGCCACTCTGGGGACCAGCAGCATCGCCTCTGAATTGATGCTCGACTGCGAAAGCTGAGAAGGAGGCAAGGAAGGAAAGAAAAGAAGGGAGAGCGGATTGCACGGAATCAGGAAATATATATATTTATCTCTCTATACAAAAGAGATCAAGGCGAGGATTAGAGAGAGAGATGCCTCCAGCCACGGCACAGACCTCGACTCCTTTGTAACAGACAGCCGTAGTTCAGGTAAAGAGAGATGCCGTCCTTTCTTTTAGGGGGGAGGGAAGGGGATCTGTCATAGATATAGTGCAATCTGTTGTCAAACTGAAAGAGAGAGAAAGAAGAAAGCATCAAAGCCTCGCATTCCTGAGGAGCCTTGAGAGAAAGAGACAGGGGAAAAAAAGAGGGAGTTACCATGGCTGCTGCCTAATAATGAAAACTTCCCAGGGCAAAGTGAGTGCAGTCAATGGGGAGCCTTAGGGCCCTTCTGTACTGTCCTTATTACATCCCAGGAATCTTATCCCAGACTATCTGCTTTAGACTGAGTCTACACCAGGCATGGGCAAACTTCGGCCCTCCAAGTGTTTTGGGCTTGAGCTGTTAGGAATTGTGGGAGTTGAAGTCCAAAACACTTGGAGGGCCGAAGTTTGCCCATGCCTGGTCTGGACTGCCAGATAATCTGGGATAAGCAGATAATCTGGGATCCGATCCTGGGATAAAGGGCTCTATATATCAAAGGAGAAAGAGGAGTTGGGGGGGGGAGGAGATGGGTTATGCAAGAGGACGTGGCTGTCTGCGAAAGAAGAAGTTTCATGAGACCAAGGGTGCATCTACATTGTTGGCCTGAATGCAGTTTTGACACCACTTTGTTCACGGCTATGACGTCAGGTGAGTTGTAACTTCACAAGGTTTGTTATCAAAGGCTTTCATGGCCAACATCACTGGATTGCTGTGAGTTTTCTGGGCTGTATGGCCATGCTCCAGAAACATTCTCCTGACATTTCACCCACATCTATAGCAGGCATCCTCAGAGGCTGGGGTAGCCTTCCCTGCCAAAGAGGGTTGCAGATTCACAAGGTCTCTTGCCTTGTTGAGCAAACTACAAATCCCATTATTCCAGAGCATATTCCCCTCTAGTGGGGTCTAACCGCCTCAATTCTGCAGTATAGATCCACCTATATATATCATCATCCTGTGACTTCTGGTTAAAGCAGCTTCAACATTTGCTTCTTGATGTGACTATGCTTCTTCCCCACCCCCCTTAAAAAGGAATTATTTTCGAGCTCTTTCGTTTGAAGGATGTGCTATGGTTTCTAACAGTTTTGATGGATTTTAGCTGTGAATTTCTAGTGTTGTCTGATTTTAATTCTATTTTAATGTTTGCATTTATATATATTTTAAATTGTATGCCAATGCTTTTTATGACAAGCTGCTTTGAGTCCCCTTTGGGGAGATAAAGCAGAATAATAATAATAATAATAATAATAATAATAATAATAGACACTTGGGAAGTGTCCAACGTGTGACCAATACAAAAGCCAGCATAGTGATCTTGTTTGCTGTGGACTAATCTTGTTATGTATCAAATAATAATAATAATAATAATAATAATCCAACATATATATCTCATTTGCTGTGACATACTGTATTTTATGTCAGTAAAATTATTATTATTATTATTATTATTATTATTATTATTATTTTCAGCTCTCTGTGCCTTTAAAACGCCTGTGGTCTCATGGCGACCCCATTAATTCCTTCCATGTGGAATACAGCTTGGGATTTACTGGCACTCTCCCATCCAAGTATTAACCAGGGCTGACCCTGCTTAGCTCTTCCCAGATCTCAGACAGCACCTTTGGGATACTTAGGCGTTTTCCAACTTAACTCTTCTGTTGGGGGAGAGGATGCTCCCCTCCGCACTCTCCCAAGTGAAGAGATGTAATTAGATCTTCCTCCGATCTGCATGATAATGGAGAATACTATCACCAGATGGAGAGCCTTGCCAATAACTTGCAGTGCAGTAGTTCTCTCCCTCCCCGACTTCCACATAAATATTCTCACTCATATCCATGCACAGCATTACGTAGGGGTGTTGGCTTTGGGAGGGAAATGTGTCACTCCAAAACAAAAATGAAAGGATCCTGATTTGTCCCCCTTTTGAAACATCCCCATTAAAAATGCATCGGACATACAGGGACAAAGGGCAATAGCGCACATTGGGATCCAAAGTCAAAGGCTTCATGCTGGGACTCTTGAGTCCTGCTGCCTCATGCTGAGGGGAGGGAGGGGGGTCTGCCTTGCATCTTTTTCACTCCTGTATGAATGCTCAGACCTCAACCCTCTTTCCATAGCAGGCATCAACATTTGCGGGAAGCTAGCTGGGGTTTTTGTAGGGCTGTGAAGGCTGGAAAGGTGGAAGGTAAGATTCTAGCTGTTCTTTGCACTCCAGAAAGCCCTGGAACAAGAAGCTGTGAGGATACAGATGCCTCCCAAGGGGTCTGTCCCATAGCAACATGGGTATATCTGCCCCCAACCCATACTAGAAAGCTAGGCTAGTGAATGCATTTAAATTCGACCTTGTCTGTGGAAACAACTTATTAGGAACTGGAACAAGGAAGTTTGGAGGGATCCATCCTCCCCTCTCCCCCTCCTAGCCCCAATCTCAAACGCAGCCTTATTATTATGTTGTACCATAACATCCTCTTAAGGCATATTGCAAAGCAAGATGACCTAGAAAGCCAATGCTGGGCATGTGACGTGTGTGATGTGCCTTTTTAACGTTGTTGTGGTCCAGAGAGGATACCTTTCGTATTTATACTCTGCGTCTCGGATGTATGTATCAAGGTTAACATCAAGATGCTGGATGAAAAACTACTAGCTAGAGATCACATGACATGATCATGCCAATATATGGTACACAGACATGGTGTTTTAGCCGCACTGATTTTAGCCACAACTACAGATGTTTCAGCAAAAAAATGTAAGCATTAAAAAAAGAAGAATCATGTATGTTTGGGTGTGCATGCATGCATTTATTTTGTACTCTTGCCTATAAGCTGACCAAACTGATTATAGTATTTAGTTATGGGTTAATAAATAGATACTGAACCATGCGTACACATAATAGGCTGTTCCAAATATATTAGGACACTGTTCTGTTTAGTTAGCTTAAAATAAAATAAAATCAGAGCATGACATTTGTGGTGGTCTGATTTAATATTCTTTCTGGCTTCTGAGAAATGAACCCAAACTGTTAAGCGTTTTTAATTGATTTTTCCCAATCTGAAACTTGATAGAAAAGCTGTGAAATTAACCCTTCATTTAATTTCTCAATGATCCCAGCTTCCCTTTTCAGGAACTAGTACTCTTCCTTAAGAATATGTAGTGACAATTGAACAATGAGAATAGGTATTATCAATAAAGAAACTATTGCTTACTGATCCAAGAGAAAAGCATTGAAACTGCTTAATATTCATTGCACAGGTTTCTTCATTAAGCTAACAAGCAAGCACTCTTATATCTTACAAGCTAACTGTTTCATCAACAGAGATTGATAACAAAAATGAAATTGGGAAAAACCTACACTGAAATCAGCCAGTGTTAAATAGAGGACCAACAACCATTAGAAATAACGAGCCACAAAGTTACAATATCTTGGATCTCATCACACTAGAGAATGAATTCACTTTAAATCTGGTTTCTGTCTCCTGCAGAATTCTGGAGTTTGTGGTTTAGAGAGGAGCCTTTAACAGCCTCACTAAACCACAAAGCCCAGAATTCTGCAGGAGGCAGAAGCCTGATTTAAAGTGAATTCATTCTCTAGTGTGATGAGGTCCCTTGAGATGCAAGTTAGCAAGGTAAAGAACATGAAAGAAACAACTTCCCTATATGCTGTCTTTCCTTATCAAGCCTAGGTGCTGTCCATTACTTAGCAATATAACATACGCAAAGCAACGATAGCATCTTACTCTGAACACTGTAAGCCTCGTACATTTCAAAAGTAAGCTTCTTAAGTATTTTTCCTTGCTAGTTTGACTCTTTGATTTTTGGCATGTATTACCAAACACCCATCAGTTTCTTCCACTTGATGCAGAATATGAAAGAATGTGAGAGAGGGAGAAAGTAAAAGGAATCTAAGACTGTGTCGTATCAAGGCCTTGCCACCATCTTTCATGAGCAATATGCTTGGCAAATTCCCAAAGTGCACTCCTGCACCAAATACCTGAAAAGTACATTTGAAAGTGGGTTACTGTGCATTTGTCGGGGGTGCATTTGCCATGTTCCAGAAGCATTCTCTCCTGATGTTTTGCCTACATCTATGGCAGACATCATCAGAGGTTGTGAGGTTTGTTGGAAACTAAGTAAGTGAGGTTTATATATCTATGGAATTTCCAGGGTGGGAGAAAGAACTCTTGTCTGCTTGAGGTATGTGTGAATGTTGTGATTGGTCACCTTGATTAGCATTTAATGGCCTTGAAGTTTCAAGGTCTAGCTCATTGCTGCCTGGGGGAATCCTTTGTTGGGAGGTGTTAGCTGGCCCTGACAGAAAGAATTCTTCCATCATCAAGTATGACTGCTGCTTGATTAGTACTGTCTGTAATGCAATCAGTGTCACTCATTCTCACAAACTGGTACATTACTTTTTTTTCGTGTCAGGAGCGACTTGAGAAACTACATTACCAATGATACTATTTTGAATCTGGGATCTAAAGAAACTTGCAACATTGTGAACTGCTTGTGTAACGTTATTAATATTTCAATCAACCTGAAACAGAAAACAACGGATTTATTTCCCCCTGCTGTCCTTCCTTTTCTCAGTTTTCCATTGCAATCACAAAGGTTGTAAAATCCTCATTCTGGTTTTGCAGCATAACCCTACACATGTCTATTCAGGAGTAAGTTCACCCTGAGTTCAGTCAATCCTATGCCTAGGCAAGTGAGTATAAGATTGTACTGTAAAGGACTTTGCTGCATTGCTATTATCGTGTAGGCCTTTTTGCTAAACCTTAGCAGAAAAACAGTTGCAGAGCAAAAAGAAGTCTTCCAACAGCCTGCGATGTTGCAAGCAATCTGATAATCATATTGTGAAGTTCTTAGATTCATTATTAATTATGCAGAGCTTATCAACAATAGTTTTTTGTGTGTATCAGGAGCAATTTGAGAAACTGCAAGTCGCTTCTGGTGTGAGAGAATTGTCCGTCTGCAAGGACATTGCCTAGGGGATGCCCGAATGTTTTGATATT